TTGCTAAAGACGCACAATGGTTGAACACAACATGTTTTATGGTCTGGGTTTAATATTTCCTATTGGACTCTGACTGATTTATCAGAGCTTCTTGGCAGACACGCAGCTTTTAAAATCCTTTTCATGTCAGTACACTCAACCAAAGTAGCAGAAAGTAACAAAAATATTTCCCATCCATAATTAAATTTGAAAGATAACAGGATATTCATTTCAAGTGATTATTAGTACTGTGCCCCTCCATAAAATTTTTAGATTTAATTTTAACTTCTTGTGGACTGGGTCTTTAGTACAGAACCTGGGACAGAGAAGATGCTCAAAGATTGTTTCCTAAATAAATAACAATGGATTTGAGATACTAGAGAATGATGGATGTCATTCCGTGTCAGCTTGTACCAAGCAAGTTATGGGATATCAAATTATTCTTGTGCACAATTAAGTCTGAAAACTCAATTTTTTCTCTCATAGAAAAAACAAACAAGTATAGAGAAACAAAAATCCTGCCTTTAAAGTCACAAAACACATTCTAGCCCTTTACCATTTTGAATAAGGAAAAAGTTAAAAAAAAAAAAAAGACACATATTACTACATGTACTCATAACATGCACACATAACATGTACATAATGTTATGTACACATAACATTTCCAATTACATCTACAAGCTTATATACAATGTTTGACAGCACAGTATAGAACTATAGAAAAGTCCCATGCTTGTGTTCATTTGTCCTCATTTTGACAATCAATTAGGTTAAATTCAGTGAGCAGCTAACTCATGTGAGGATTTAGTACAGCTGATGTTTGTTAACTGTTTTAACTAGATTCACTGTATAAGACCTTTGTTTCTATTAAATAACAGGGGTATTTTGCAATAATGTGTTTAAAAGATTGTCAAATACTGCAGTCCATACAAAACTATGAAAGCTGTCAAAACAGATTTTTTGGTTGGCAGGAAGAGGCACTGAGTGAAATCTATATGTACATGTAGAAACATTCAGGTTATCCAAAAGTGGAAACGTTCACAAGTTGAAGCTTCTTAAATGACTAAATTCCCATTGAGATACAGACTATTGAACATCACTTTGAAATTCTCAAATGCTGACCCAACAACAGTTCTCTTCGGAGTAGAGAAAACTTGAACCAGAGATCCCCGTGCATGTCTACTGGTGTTAAAAAAGCAATAAATAGAAACTTGGTCTTCCTGGCTATAGGTTTAGTACCAATAATATTGCCAGCAATATAAAAAAGTGCAAAAAAACAAAATGTGAAGTGTTGAAGGGAATTACTCAGCAGCTAGTGAATGGAACAAATGAAGCTGAAGCTTGAAATTCTTAGAATTCATTCACAGATCTTGCGCATGCTAAAGAGTCTTTGAAAAGACTACAGATACATTTCAGAAGAGAAATGGACAGAACTGAGACACTACAAAGGCTTTTAGACAATTGATCTTCAATGTATTTTACCTTGTTGTCATCTTAGTTCTGGGCATCCCAGGTGATGCTAGTCGTTAAGAATCTGCCTGCCAAAGCAAGAGACGTAACAGACACTGGTTCAATCCTAGGTTGGGAAGATCCCCTGGAGGAGGACATGGCAACCCACTCCAGTATTCTTCCCTAGGAAATCCCATGGACGAGGAGTCTGGCAGGCTACAGTTCACGGGGCTGCAAAGAGTTGGACACAACGTGGGCTTCCCTTGTGGCTCAGCTAGTAAAGACTCTGCCTGCGATGTGGTTCGATCCCTGGGTTGAGAAGATCCCCTAGAGAAGGGAAAGGCTACCCACTCCAGTAGTCTGGCCTGGAGAATTCGATGGACCATATAGTCCATGGGGTCGCAAAGAGTTGGACATGACCGAAAGACTTTCCCTTTTCACTATAAGACTAAACAAGAACAACATGCAGATAACACAGACATATACAAAAATGTATCAGAAAAATACTTATCATTAACCATCCTGTGTGGGAAGAATTTTAAAGATGCTAAAATACTGCCTTTGCATATTTTTCATTAACCTATATACAAAATTCTATGATTATATTAGGATAATAATATTATTCACTAGGGACATGGGTGATTTACTTTGATTATTTCAACTTTCTAAGCACTTTTGAATTTGTCAATTTTGTTTTTTACAACTTAACTACTACTTTATTACTACTTTTCACATAGCTGCTCCTAAAATTTTACTCAGAGACAATTTTTAGCACTTGACAATTTATGTACTTCTTCAATTTCTAAAAGTAAAACTAAGAAGTACTAAAGAGTTTAAAAAAAGAGAAAAAATTTCAAATATTAACAATTACAAATTGACTGAACCTACCTTAATATAAGGCCATTAGAGCTATATGAAAAATCACAAAGAGAATCAAGTAACTGATTAGCTACAAGCAAGAGGAGCTGTACCATTTGGAGACTACAGAATAAAATACAGAAAAGCTGTGGTGATGTAAAGGGCGAAGGATTAATAACACAGCCATGACAACCTGGAAATACCCCTGTGTCCTGGCACATCATCAATCTATTGCAAGCAGTGCACAGACTCACTACAGTAAACACATATCACTGGCCCTGGAGTTCTAAAAGCTTAATCTCTTTTAAGAAGAATACAGAAACTAAAATAAGTAAAACCTCTCTGTTTTACATTCAGCTCTACTCTGTCACTTACTCTGAGCCACACGGCAAACAGCTATTTTGTATGACCCTATAAGTGATCATCTTTACTAACCAAAGGTTTCCGCCAACATAGTGGGAACTTCCTCTGAACTTCCAAATGCTACATAAGTTTCAAGATGAAGACACTAGGTCCTGCAGTAGGTCTGTATTTCTATGCTCCAAGCCCAGGACCCCAGAGAAGGGGCTGAAGTACGCCGGCCATCTGTGGAGGCAGAGTACGGGGAGTCTGTACCAGCCTAAAATTCTGGCTTTCTTCAGGAAGAACAGCAAACTTGGACTTCCTTCACACCTGTAAGAACCCTACTGCTGCCCTGAGAACGTAACTCAATCTAAAGGGCTTGACAGACATATCCGGCCTCTGTCAGCTTAATACTCGCCCTGAAATGCTTAAAGGGTTTCAGGTAAAGCAAATAATCTTAAAGCGGTTCCCTCCCTGTCAGCCAGGCACTGAGTCAATAACATCTCTATGATATTTTCTACTGATATATTTGAAATCCATTTGCAAGTTGACAGTTTTGTCTTCTACCTGTGTAACTAAAGTTATTGAAACATTTGTTTTTTAAAAAAAGGCACTGCGATGTCTGCAGAACTATTGTTTGCTAACATAACAGCAGTCAACTAACTGTATGCTGAGAATCTGCTGATGCCATACGGGGCGTTGCTTTTCCTCCGACCTCCCCCTGCACTACACAAAATTCACAAGCATCATAAAGGGATAAAGGGAAATGAGAGCAAGGAAAACCTCAGGTAAAATATAGATCAAATGCATGCTGAAAGAGAGCCATGTAGGGAGGTTGAAATCTTTACCAACGAAGGAAAGATGTCTGGGAGCTCAGACGTGGCTCTGTAAATGTAAATCAACTGTAATTCACTTCCTAGTTCTTCCTCTTTTTCTTCATCCATTTTTAAAAGTCTCCCAAAGGTAGAAAGAGGCCCTCTTCATAAGGATGTGAAAATCATTAATATTCTATCATCAAGTAATGAGCTCAACAAACATCAATACTCCTATGAGTTTGCACTGCCCTGTCCGGATCCCCTGAGGCCATCCTTCCTGGGGAAATACACAGGTTCTGGGCTGGAGAGAAGGTTCAGGAATACGGATGCTCATGATAACACTCAATTGCAAATTTTTTTAAAGGCTTGGAAGTTTAATGATTTGTTTTCTAAATCCGATCAACAATACTGACTTCAATACTGACTGTGTTAAAACAGAGTAGTTAAAAAAGTGTTTGAGCAAAATATTCTGTGAATCCTCCAATACTCAAAACTAGAAATCTGTCCAAAGATCTATTTTAAAATCTCTAACCTTTATTATAGATCAAGAAATATTTTAAAGAAGCCCTTGGGGAAACCAATTATTTTCTAGGTCGTATTCTAAAACATCAAATCAATTTATATTTATTGAATGCCTACAGAATGGAAGGCAGCTTGCCTTAGATTCTGTTGCTGTAAACTGGAAAATTTAGTGACTATGGGAACTAAAGACATTTGGGAAACTTTCTGTCTGATGCTCCTGTTTTAGCCTTACAGAGCAATTGGGAGACATACGTGAGACAGGAGCCATACCCTTCTCAAGAGAAGTGTTGAAAGATCAACGTAAGATTTATCTACTAGGGTTTACTATGCTTGAGAATCTGATCTACTATAAATAGAATCTGAGCTACAATAAATAAATATGGTTAGTTTGCAACATTGGTAAGTGATATTCTGAAATCAAGTGTTATAGAAGCAGAACTACTTATGATTAATACTGTAAGATTAAGTTATATTAATTTTATATATTAAATAATAGTGAAAGAAAAGGGCTTCTTTGGAAGCTCAGCTGGTAAAGAATCCACTTGCAGTGCAGGAGGCCCCAGTTCGATTCCTGGGCTGGGAACATCCCCTGGAGAAGGGACAGGCCACCCACTCCAGAATTCTTGGGCTTCCCTGGTGGCTCAGGTGGTGAAGAGTCCGCCTGCAATGCGGGAGAGCCGGTACAAGCCGTGGGTTGGAAAGACCCCCCGGAGGAGGGCATGGCAACCCGCTCCAGTATTCTTGGCTGGAGCATCCCCATGGACAGAGGAGCCTGGTGGGCTGCAGTTCACGGGGTCACAAAGAGTCGGACACGGCTGACGACTAGGCACAGCACAGCACAAAGAAAGCATGAAAACCCAACAAAGCGTCAAATCGTGTACGCAAAAAACTCAAACATGGGGTTTTTAAAAAGACAACCATTCAAACAGACACGTGTGATTTTTGAATCCTTAAAGATGAAGAAAACTGAAAAAAGACACAGTCATAGGGAGTACAAGGAAGACATCAACGTGACCAGTGAAATCTTGACTATACCTGCCAGGCGGTGAGACAAGAGGTGCACATCAGGTGCCCACAAGGCTCGATCTTGACGTCCTTGTCGTTCTCAGCACAGATCTTACAGAGCTGGAAAGTGGAACCCATCTCACAGTATAACTCATATTGTTCCTGGAATTGGGGGAGCACAAAAGGCAACCTTAATGTATTTTTTTGCATGAACTGATAATACTGAATTTTCTTAAATACCATGACTTACAGTAAATTCCTCACACCTGACCCTGTCAGATCAAACTGCCATTTAAGATATATTTTAAATTGGTAGTCACAATTTGGTTTATAAAATTTAAAAGATTTTATCTGCAACTGCATAAGCTTTTTTAATACTTTGGATTATTTAACATTTTGTACTGTTCCTTTAGTAAGGTACCTGCATCAACAGGGTGATTTAAGAGACAAATGTATGGTCTTAAATGCAATAAAAAACAATACTTTTCTCTGTAAATACCACATACTCATCTAATTTTAATGTCAAAATTGCAATACAGCTGACAATTTTACTTCTTAGACATCTATTTCAGAAATTTCAGGACGGAAAATTTGCCAAGGGCTTTCTGCATGCTATGTACTGATGTCCACATTTATTATGTCATATAATCTCCAAAGTATAAGAAGATACACTGAATTTAAAAAAATCCTGAGGCTCAGTAGTATAAATTATTTTCCTCAAATTCTATACTAAACCCCTATTTGCATACTCTTTTCCCAGTCTAACATGATGAAAAACCTAATCATTTCAGCTATCAAAAATTGTTTCATTAAAAATCTATTCTCTTTATTCACTAGTTAGATGCTTTTTGGCATAGTTAAATTCTCAGTATTCAAATAATGAAAAGAACTCTGTCACAATGAAGATTCAGATATATTGGTAAGTATAAAGAAGTATGAACAGAGAGTGTTACTTAATAGGCATACAAAGAAAAGGAGTTATTGAAACAAAAATTTGTTTAAATAAGGCAATGTGTTAGTCTAGTAAGTATGTACTACATACATGGCCTTGGACAGGATGAATAAATGACAATATTTAATCCCTAGCTAGTGAAAGCTCTTACAATCTCAGTGAGAAAAAATGCATATGTATAAACACATAGATACACACACACATATACTCACTCATTCATATATAAATTCTGTCTACCATGGTATATGTGTGACTATATAATTTTTAAAATAAATTAAGGGAAAGAGTAGATCAACATGGAAAAGAAGTCCAAAGTATCCTATATCTCACTGAAATCCCTAAAATAATAAGTAAGTATCTGTGTGTCCTCAATCACTTCAGTCGTGCCTGACTCTTTGCGACCCTATAGAGTGTAGCCTGTATACTGGTTATGCAATTCAATGGACCAATCTACAATTATTAAAAAAATTAAGATAAAATCACACTTGCAGAAGGAAATGCAACCTAAGAGGTAAGCTATTCAAATATTTATGAGTAGTTTAAGAGAAAGATACTACTCCTGAATATGAATTTTAAAACAACTTTTAAACAATGGCTTTATAAGGAATTGTCTCCTGTGTCTTTCTACATATATTAGAAAACACAGAATCAGTACATAAGTTTTAAAATGGCTTTCATATATTAAGTTTTTAAAACTGCCCAAAAGAGTACACATGTCAACAAGTATGTTTTAAATATCAAGACCACTGAAATCTAAAGAAGTAGAAATGAAAAATTACCTACTGTTTTCTCTAAAACTTATCATTTGGTTTTATTAGAGTTTTATTATTATACAAAGCACAAAATATCCAAATTATAAAATTTTTTAAAACTCAGCTACATTTAAAATAAAATATTGGAAGTTCTCTCTCAAAGACTGTTGCCAAGTTAGCGTTTTTCATTTTTATTTTTTTAAAGTGCATTCACATGTTCACAAATGGTAATTTTTCTTTATAAAACTGAAGTTACATAATGTCATTTTACAAAGTCAAATGTTACATAATTAAGCTTTACATAACATTTTTACATAACAAGATGCAGAGGTTCCCGTGTGAGTGTCCAGAGCTGCCTTCCTCTTGCTAAAGACTTTACAGGATAATGAAGTGTGAGTGTGCTATGGTATTTAACCTCTGATTGAATATAGCTATTTGGTATACTGTAATATTTCATTTTTAAGAACAATGCTAAAGTGAACACCCTGGGGTACAGATCTTTGTGTGTATATTCAAGTGATGTGTATATGGAATCTAGAGTCAAACATGTTTAGGTTTTGGTAACTACTGAATACCACCCTCAAGAAAGACTTTACCAAGTTACCCCCCACCCCAAGTCATAATCTATGAGGGTGCCAACAGTGGATTTACAAGAATACAATTATTGTCTCCAATAGGTTTCAATTATTCACTTGACTCTAAAAACTAATGCATACAATTATTCGAATCTTCCCTGAAGTTTTCTAAAGCTAAACATCTCTACTTTCCTATCGATCTGTCTACCTACAGGTTTATCTATTTCCCCACAGAAATGTCAGTATTATATTGGAAGCAGAAATATTAACAAGAGATTTTTATCGAAAAAATAAAGTTCTGTAATTTCTTTTCAAACCCTCTTAAAATTCCTTAAATATATTTTGCATTAAATATCTGTACATGACTTTACCAATTACTAAGAATGTTATTTCAAAGGCATCACAAATACTTATTAATTTTAAGTATGTCTCCAGAAATTGTCCTTACCTGTGTAACTTTTATATGATCATGGGGTGTAGGTTCACATAGTCCAGTTAAATCAGGATTATAACTCCTCCCATCAGGATAAAGATAGCTGGATTATAAAGAGAAATTTTATTTACATAACTACATACAAGTCTTAATTGCCTTTAAGGTTATGTAATCAGATTCTTCTATATTCAAACGCACATTTAGATGTCTCCTTTTTAGGTATCTTACATCAAGAATTTATTCTATCACTGTTTCCATAATACTACAAGTTATTTTTAGGAAATTCAAAATCTAGCAAATTTTTTTAATTAAAGAAATATATAATGAATATGGACTCAGCCATTAAGCAATCACTTTCAATTAAACAGCTTTACTATATGTTTTGGAGAAGGAAATGGCAACCCACTCCAGTATTCTTGCCTGGAGAATGCTATGGAGCCTGGCAAGCTACAGTACATGGGCGTCACAAGAGTTAGCCATGACCAAGTGACTGATACTTCCACTGGTTACTCATGTTCTATTCCAAAATACTCAGAATATACGTCTATTTGCAATTATTATGTCTTTCACATGAAGCACAATTAATGTTACATTTTACACTATGCTTAGTACCACTAGGAAACAAAAATAGAATTAAAGCCCACAATTTTCTCATAAAAGTTATCCAAACATCTTTGTGGCATTTTCTTTCTCTAGTTTCCCATCCCCTTTCTTTCTGTTTCACCTTCCATTTACCCTGGCACATATACACATGTGCATATAAACAAAGGTTACAACTCTATGTTTCATTTACTTCAAATGAAGCTACCTACAGAATGGTTTATAAGCATAAGGTTCCATTACTAGAGAGAATTAAAATAAGAACTAAAAGTTATCATGCCATCTTGCTGTGCTAAACCAGTGCTTCGTTATTCAGAAATCCATTTAAAAAAATGAAGCTGATCATGTTGGTAAGCACCTATATTAGATTATGAAATGAGTAATATTACTGCTGGATTTCATCAATTCATTAAGTTACAGGTGATTTTTATTTAGCAACTTTTTGTTCTAGATTCTTGAATGGTAACTTAAGAACATAATAGTACAGTGGTGAATAAAGAGCAAAACTATACTAACGTTATTATGTGAAGTAACAAAAAATATTTATCCATAAATAGTCTATAAATATGTTAGTGTTTAAAATTCTAAAAGAAAACCAGGAAAAATAAACCTAGAGGACAGACAATTCTCATATGGCAAGGAGGAAATCAGTGAGTGGCTTTGTTGTTGTTGTGTTTTTAAGATTTAGGAAAAGGAGTTGACTACATGTGACTATGATACAAATTTTAGTGTCATTATAGGGATAGGGTAAAATGCTACAAACATTATAGAAGTGATAAGCAAAAGTTGGTAGCTTTCTTTTTATACTTGTTCACCACACTTCAAGAATGTTGAATTCTAGGGAGAATTCAGAAATGAAAGATTACAAAATGACAATAATTTTGCTAGAGAAAAGGTTTAAAAATTCTGTATAGGAGCAATTCAATGATTATGGTCTTCAATATTGCTGTTGCTGAGTCCCTTTCAATGGCATTAGAGGAATAAGGAATCTTGGCTAGTTATCAAAGTAAACGTCTTTATCACTTATGTCGCACAATATCAGATTAACTATAACGAAAGGACAAATGACCCTAACGGTTGGAAACAGTTGGACCAGATAATATCCTGTGTTTTTACTGATCTTTTGTTGTTGCTGGTGTTTCATGCCTGACTCTTTGCAACTGCATGGATTGTAGCCGGCCAGGCTCCTCTGACCATGGAATTTACCAAGCAAGAATACTGCAGTGGGTTGCCATTTCCTTCTCCAGGGCATTTTCTGGACCCAGGGATCAAACCCAGGTCTCCTGTATTGGCAGACAGACCCTTTACCTCTGGGCCACCAGAAAAGCCCAGAATATAAATAAGATATAACAAAATCAGTCCATTCACAGATTTGCCCACTCGTGATCTCTTTTTATAAATTAAAACTCTGAAGTACATTTTTCTTCAAAACAAAAATCCTGTTATAGTGGATAGAAAGCCACAGATATGAATCCTTGATGCACTAGAGGTAAGATATAAACAACAGAAGAGCAAATTTGTAATTAAAAAAGGAGAAATACAGACTTTTAGTACCAGTTTGCCATTCATTCTTACATAACTATTTCTTAAAATTCACAACTTCTATCCATTCACATGGAGCCCATCACTTTTTCTTTTTTCTGTTCTTTGGCAAAGGAAAATTTTGCTACTGGAAACTATTTTCTCTTTCTGGTAGACTTCCCCCTCTCAGGTTTCTATCACAGGAATATAGTCAATATTTTACAGTAACTATAAATGGAGCCGAATGAGCACCAAAAAATGGGCACTTTCAAACCGAAGTGCTATAAAAGACTCTTAAGAGTCCCTTGGACAGCAAGGAGATCAAACCAATAAATCCTAAAGGAAATCAATCTTGAAAACTCATTGGAAGGACAGATGCTGAAGCTGAAGCTCCAATACTTTGGCCCCTGATGCAAAGAGCTGACTCACTGGAAAAGACTCTGAGGCTGGGAAAGATTGAGGGCAGGAGGAAAAGGGGACGACAGAGGATGAACTGTTTGAATGGCATCACTGACTCAATGGACATGAGTTTGCACAAACTTTGGGAGACAGTGAAGGACAGGGAAGCCTGGCATGCTGCGATCCATGGAAAGAGTCAGATGTGACCGAGTGACTGAGCAACAACGATAGCAAATGGAGCATAACCTTTAAAAACTATGAATCATCATACTGGTCACCTGTAACATTTAACATTGTACCTCACTTATGCTTTAATTAAAAAAAAAAAAAGGACAAAGAGAGGAAGCGAAAGAGGAGGGTGGGCGAGAAGGCAGGCGTGTTTTGGAGACAGGAGCACAGTGCTCCCCAGGGGAATGAAGTTCCAGGCCCTTTTAGCAGCCAGTTGTATTTTTCTGAGGCAGAAGAGCAGATGGATGGCTCTTTGGGGTGGGATGCTTTTGTGAGCTGTGTGTGGAAATCCCACAAAGGGAGATTCGTTGCAACTCTACTGACAGTCCAAGAACAGAGCCTATCAGAATCTGCCCATGATCCCAACAGCAGGATTAAAAGACCCTATACTGAGAGTACAAATTGGGAGCACAGGAGCAGAGCTAGATAGGGAACAATCAAATAATCGTTCCGCTGCGTCCATTCTCCAACTGCATAGTATTTTCTAACATTTGTAAGGAACTATTCAGATCTGAAGGTTGTGAAGACCATGCCAAAAAAAAAAAAAAATCAAATAATTAGGTTATTTAAATTGACTAAGAAATGAACAATAAAATCTAAGGATCATCCATTTCTTAGTTTTAAAATAAAAACCAGTCAGACCATCAGCCTCACTGTCCATTCCCACCACCAAAAGGAGCCTCTATCTTCCACATCTGTGAACAAGAAACACTCCAACCCCCGAGGTCTCATACTCACAATCCTTCCCTGCTTCCATCAATCAGGGCTTGAAACAAGGGCTTGTTGTGCGGTATGGTCTGTAAGATATTGCCGTCCCCTGTCACATAGCCAATGGCCCACTGCCCCAGCCTGGTGCAGCTTAAGCGGAAAATGTAGCTGTGAAACGTAAGAATAGTATGTTTAAACACTTTCAAAACGTCTGCTCGCTAACCACTATCAAACAATTGTGAGATTTTTCGTAAGCAAAAGAATAAACAAAATCATTTAGGATTTCTATCTTCAAACTTATTTTACACTATTCTCCTTCTCCATTTACTGATCTGCAAAAGAAATAATGATAATAATTCCATTTAAATATCCTTGGAGTTCTGTGAAAAAATAGTCGAAGTTGTAAACCATCAAATAATTTACCACCATCATCATTAGAGGTTTGCTCTGCATAAAAGTGCTGGTGGTGTGAAACAGCTGTGACATTTTTGGAAAGCAAAAATAAAATAAGTAAAAATTAATTTGGCTAGCTCAGACAGAAATTGAGAAAGTCTACTATGGAATTCAATACATTATTTTGTCATCTTAAAATTACCCACTTTTAGTTGTTAATAACTTGTTTAAAAATAATACTTTTCTTTCAAGTATTACAGCCATTGATGTTTAAACAAAAGATCAAAGAGCTGAACTATATTAATGGGAAAGCAAACTAGGTAAGTTCATGCTCTGTCGAATCCTGTCAAGTTCAACGTCTTGTGATAGGAAATAAAAATAGTTCTAAAATATAAAACAAATTAATGACAATGTCAGAAGACACTGACTTGGTTTTAAATTCATTACTGTTTACTAATATTAGCTAATTATCTTATCTACTTACCACATTATACATCATTTCCCTGAATTTAAGTGTATTACACTCAGTCTTATTCATGATATCCATATCTGGATTTTCTCACATCTTAAGCAGATCGAAAGTAGGCCAACTTAAGCTATATTTGAGTACCCTGATAGCTATATGTATGTGGAAGAAATAAGCATCTGTTAATCTACATTAGTTATTGATTAAACAAGTACTGTAATAAAAACTTTAACAGATAATTTAGCATATGTAACAGATACAGTCATTAGATTTACTTAATTTGGGTATCAAATACTGCAATGTGGTTTCATCTTTGCAGAAAACTGGGCTCTTTACAGAAAGGAAGAAGTGATTTTCATATTGGTTTTGGAACTGTTGGAAAGGACTTTTCAAGAAGTCTAAAAACATTCTCCTAGAAAGCTGAAAAATAAGTATCAACCTCTCACTTAGCATCCTTAATCATGATCATCCAGAATAATCCCACACAGACATGACTGTCAGCTGGATCCAAATAAAGTACAACCTTAAGAACTGAAATGTCCTTGAAATATACCCAACTATTTTCTTTACCATGAAGCCAAAGAGATGAACCATTTCCCGAGAGAAAGGACCACTCCAGCAAATATTTATTAAAATCATTTGGTTGTTCACCGAATTTTCCTAAATACATTTTAAACACCCTATCACATGTACATATAAGGGTTTGCCACAAACTGATCATTTCACCTTCAACGAAAACTTAGAAGAAATAACTGATAGCAGACAGGAAGGGAAGGAAAAGAAGACATCCTTTCGGAGAGCACTATCTTAAAAGCTCTATTCAAATAGTGATGAGTTCTGGCTTTTATTAATACTTCCAACACGGTCATCAATTAGCTCCATGATCTTGAACAAGAGAACACAAGAAGACTCACTTTATTATTTTTTTTTAGAACTGGAGATAATTTCCCAAATGACTTCTGTGTTAAATCTGCATGACAGAATGATTCCAATGGTATTGTATCTTTCAAATCATACTCCAGGAACAAGATGATACTTTGATGCCAATCAAGACAGCAAAAGTTATGGAAAAATTTGGTTATGAGAGATCCCTGAGACAAAATGACTTACCTAAGCCATTGTCAATGTGCACAATAACTGACCTGCTCTTGCAGTCACAATGAGACTAAACCTACGACTCCACAGGAGCCACACTGTTTTCTGTACCTACAACCGCCTTCTAATATACAATAAAAATTCTTAGAAATATAAGAGGTGAAAATTTTTCCATTATGGTAAAGAGGGATAAGAAATCATCAATAACTGACTGCTTGAAAAGACTTTCTTAAAGGACAAATGACACTTGCACTAAAAATCAAATAAAAACGGTATTAGAAGAAAAAGGTAGACTTGAAAAATACCAAACTTCTAAAATGCAATGACCCCTATATGAACATCAGGGCTCTCATGGACAGTGGGATGGTGTCTCCTACTAAATGCTGTAAGTTGAGAAAGGGCAGTCTCACTGTCATGACCATCATACCCAGCACACTGCATGCCACAGCACAAATGCCTACTATGTGCCTGGTGCATTTCTAGACTGGCTGTGGGGAAAATGTCTGCACCAGGGGAGAGAGATTTTCTGATCCCAGATATGCCATTAATAAGCTCTGCTCTCTTATACAAAGCCAGAGACGCTGATCACACAGCTAAGCTCTGTGAGTTTCATTCAATTTCAACAGCAGCCACGAGGGACTATGGAAGAAGTTCTCAGGACATGACACTGGTTTGGCTCGCTAGCAATGGGTTTATATGTTTATGAACTTACTACACATTTATCATGTATCTATACACTTATATGTACTTATATACATTAATATGTATTTATATGTAATTATGTGATTATCATAGAACCAAACTGAATGTCTTGAAAAATACCCTAAAATAATGAATATGAAACTGATTTGTCATTAGCACAGTATTCAAGTATTCAAATATACAATTTTGTACACAAACACATGTCATGAAAAGAGTTAATATGCTAATATCTTATTCCAATTTTAAACTCTGAGACTTATTCTCTAAATTCATCAAATTACATATTACCATATCCTCTTTCACTTTATGAACATTAAGTTTCAGAACAAGCATAGCATACCAATTTGAATAACTGAATTAGGAAGCACTGTTTTTGTCTGTTAGCATTTCCCTCCCCTTAACCCAATGTGTATAACTGATTTACTTAGGAATGAACCACTGAGGACTTTCCATCTTTCCACATATCACATAATATTACTGCCAAAGTCTTACCTTCCGGGCTTGGTGCTGTATTTCTGTAGCCGTGCTTTCACTTCATCATATGTGAGAAATGCCATGTAACCCGGATGTGTTACAGCTAAGAAATTCCAATTCCGTAAAATAGAGCCCCAAGGCTAAAAGTATAAATAAATTAAAAGATTACCTAGAGAGTATCAACTATCATTTATGCACCAAGCCATTATTTAATACACATACTAAAATTCTCCTGAATATTTTAAAAGTGAATATAAGTTTACGTGGCTTAGGTCAACTTATATTATCCAAAAGCAAACATAAAACTACTTACTTTCATTTTGGAGAAATATAATTATGCAGAAAACAGATTTTAGGAAAAAAAATATTGAAAGCAAAAAGGAANATAATTATGCAGAAAACAGATTTTAGGAAAAAAAATATTGAAAGCAAAAAGGAAGACCACATAATCTCTTCTCCACATATTCTATTCCCAAGACAGCAGTTGTGATCATTTTGAAACATAAACCACATCACTCTTTGATTCAAAACTCTCTAACTCTGACTAAAAGCCAAAGTTCTGATAAATGGCCTAGAAGGACCTTACGGGGTTGAGACCCAGTTCCCCTGCATCCCATGTGCTGTGAGCCTCTCACCTCCCGCCCTTCCTCTAGATCCGCGGATCACAGTACTGCTGGCGTAAACGTAATTGCACTCTCTCACCTCACAGCCTTTGAATCTGCTGACCCCTGAACTCTTCACGTACACATGTTGTTTCACTCCCTCCTCTTCAAAACTCTCTTCCTCAACAGAGCCTTCTCAGACCAAAATCACTACTTCTCATCTCATGCCCCACATCCCTGCGCGTCTGTTTTATTCACTACTCTAACACTTAGACATCACATTTTCTAGAACAAAAGGCTATCATGGAATGGAAGTGATTTGGCAAAGTCTACACACTGACCCTGATGCTACATAAGAACAGGAACATGGCTGTCTCGCTCCCCAAAGGGAGGCCAGCACTGAAGCAGCACCAGGCGGAGCGACCAGGAGAGCTGCCGTGAGCAGCGTATCTGATGGCGGACGTGCCTACGAAGCCTTCACTCCCATGGTCGGTCAGTCAGTCAGTTAGTTCAGTTGTTCAGTCGGTCCGACTCTTCGCGACCCCATGAATCGCAGCATGCCAGGCCTCCCTGTCCATCACCAACTCCCAGAGTTTACTCAAACTCATGCCCATCGAGTCAGTGATGCCATCCAGCCATCTCATCCTCTGTCGTCCCCTTCTCCTCCTGCCCCCAGTCCCTCCCAGCATCAGGGTCTTTTCCAATGAGCCAGCTCTTCGCATGAGGTGGCCAAAGTACTGGAGTTTCAGCTTCAGCATCAGACTGCCATGGTAACACACTACAATTCTAACATCTCATCCTTGGACAATTAGAAAATCAGAAAAGGTTCAGTTTAGAGGTGAATTCTGTAGAAATCCTTCACAGAAACACACACACACACACACACACACACACACACACACACACACACACGGTTTGTTGTCATCAAGCTCTTTTCACACACAGACACACACACACACACACACACACACACAC